TTGAAGGTGTTGCGTTTTTTGGAATTAAGATGGTTTTGTTTTGCCTGGAAAAATACTGTTCTTTATAAAATTCGTTGTTTGTGCTTTTAAGGATTGGGTGGGATCTTTCTTCAGTTTCTGATAGATATCGTCTGTGAGAAGTCTCTGTATTTTCTTATCATTGTCTTTGTTCATTATTACTGTTGTGTTACCTTTGTCCGCTGGAAGGATAATGATGTCCGTCTTGATTTAATTGTGTTAGAGCGTACCGTTATGGTCTGGTCAGGTTCTGTTTTAGTAGTTTGGATTTCTGTAGTACGTTGGCTGTTAACCTACGGATATTGTTAGCCTATTCTTGTAGGAGTAGAAACAGGGAGGATTTTATCTGACTGATTATTTCTTCCTTTGAACTATTGCAACATTTTAGTTTGAGCTATTGCAAAGTTTGATCCTTTTTGGAGGGCGGAAATGGTTTTTGAGGAGAAGGCTTTGGTGGATAAGTTTTTTATGTTTGGTGAAGGAGGTGTAACTGCTTTTTGTAGTGTTAGTTTGTGATATTTTTCCGTCTGTCGTTGGAATGACTGTACGTAAGCATTTTAGGATTGTTCGTACGTTATGTGGTCCAGTGTGAGCTATAAGTCTGGTCGAAGGGTTGAAGCTAAGGAAAGGTGGAGTTTTTGTAAGATTTTACTAACCTTCATTTTTGTGTATGAGATGCGTTCCTTTACTAGTAATACTGCTGCTTTCTGCAGAATACTGTTTTCCTTTTTCGTGCCGAGATGGTTTTTTAATTGTAGAAACTTTGGAACGATGTTAGTGTCCCTACATTATTTTAGAAAGGCTAGTGTTGAAAAGTGTTTTGATAAGGATAACGTGAGTTTATTAAAGGAGTTGACTCCTTTCGTTAACAAGAATAATCTCCCCGTGGAAGTACTTGATTTAATATTATAGGGTCTCGCGGTGTCCATGCATATTAGATTTGGTTTCCGGGTTTGATTCTGCGAGGATTTTTCTTTATTTGATTTCGATATTTCGCGAACATTTCAATCCGCTTCATCAGGGAGGAACCACCTGATGCTGAGTTGCTTTCTGCCGAAAGGTCTTCCTTTATATAGTAGTTGGTATAAGTAGAAGAGGGGGGAGGAGACTAGAAGATGGGGCTGTTGGTAGGGGGGATAGTGGTGGTAAATTTGTTGTCTGTTATGTTTTGGCAAGACTATACGGTCTTCTCAAGATTCACAAAACAAACATACCACTTAGACCTATAGTAAGCGCTATTAACTCCCCAACATACAAACTGGCACGCTTCTTAATTAGTAAACTAGAACCTGTCAGTAGAAACAGCTTTTACACGGTCAAAAACTCAGCGGATTTCATATAAAAGATAAAAGAATTCCAGCTTCAACCAAACAACACCCTGGTAAGTTTCGACGAATCATCCTTATTCACGCAGGTCCCAATTCCAGAAATCAAATATAACGATGACCTCAAAACAAGTGCCTTCCGATCTTATCCTCTTAATCAAAAACTGCCTCACCAATACATGTTTCAATTATAATAATCAGTTCTATAACTATAAACAAATTTCATGTGCAGCTATGGGATCCCCAATCTCACCAAGCATAGCTAACATTTTCATGACACATTTCGAATCCCAAGTCATCCAAAAGTGCCAGTTGAAACCCCGAATACGGCTCCGATATGTAGATAACACTTTCGTCATTTGGCAACACGGAAAAAAAACTCCAGGAATTCCTACATGTACTCAACATCTCAACATAACCTTCACAATGGAAGTGGAACAAATCAACTCCTTTTCCTAGATGTCCTAGTCATAAAAAGAACAGAAGTTTACAGGAAACCTACACACACCAACCGATATCTCCATGCCAAATCACACCATCACCTAGATAAAAAACAATAGGTCCTCTATTCGCTAATACACAAAGCATTAACCATCTGCGACAAGAGCAGCATCCAAAGCGAACCTAAGGATGTCAGGATCAACACTCTTCAAAATAATAGCTACACGGCAACACAGATAAACAAAACAATCAGGAAACACCAAAGCAGAAGACATCAAAACACACAGACTGAACAACTCCAGGGACAGGCAAAAGAAGGAAACTCTATCACGACTCTCCTTCCGTACATACAGAGAATTAAAGACAATTGGCAGAATGCTGAAAAACGTAATATCAAAACCACCTACAAACCATCAATACAAATAGGACAGTATCTGAACAACCCAAAAAACATAAGACCTCCACTAGACACTCCTAGAGTATATCGAGTCCCCTGCTCCTGTAACAGTCTATATAGGAGAAACCGGGAGAATGTTGAGCACACGTATGAAGGAACATCAATGCGCAATCAAACTGAAAAATGTAACGAAGTTACACTTTTCACATTATTTAGCACTAGCGAGACACAATCTAGAAAGCGGACACAGAATCCCTTTCAATGAAATAACAGTACTGGCCAAAACATACAATTACTTCCCTAGGAAGTACAGAGAATCCTTGGAAATTTAAAATCATCCTAACAATCTCAACAGGGATAATGGACAAAAAATTAGTCCAATCTGGCAATCCGTCCTCTCGGTTTCTAAAACATGACAGACAACAAATTTCCCACTACTATTCCCCCTACCAAACCCGCCACCTTCTTGTCTCCTCCCCCTCTACCCCCAATGCCAACTACTATATAAAGGAAGATCTCTCAGGAGCAGCTCGGCATCGGGTCGTTCCTCCCTGATGAAGCTGACTAAAATGTTCACCGAACGTCGAAATCAAATGAACAAAAATCGACACGACTCAAACTTGGAAACCAAATCTAATATACATGGATACCGCGAAAACCTAAAATATCAAATGTAGATTTTATACATATAACGCATCTGTTATACAACAGACTGACAGATGTTCCAATTTATGCAAAAAGTTTGAAAAATTTTTTAGAATTTTCTGAGATTCTGAGAAATCTTTCCACCAAAAATATCGCTATTATTTTTGTGTACAGAAAAAACAGTTTTAGTTGAATAAACCAAATATCTGATAGAATATGAATGATCCAGAAATTCCAATCGAAGTAATCCGAATTTTGTATAAGTTAACAAGATTTTTGGTAGACTAACTAAACATGTCTGGTTATTTAACCAGACATCTCTCCCTCTCTCTCTCTCTCTCTCTCCCTCTCTCTCTCTCCCTCTCTCTCTCCCCCTCTCTCTCTC